ATATATCATCAAAGAAACCAATATAACTTGATGAACAACAAAGCTTACCTTCATGAAGATCGTTTCCGCTGGAGGAATGGCCTCAAACATGTCCCCACCAATATGTGTAACCCCATCATATCTTGGTGCCATTGAAATAACATGCGGCAAATCGAAGTTGATCCCTTTCAGATGTGGATATGCCTTCACAATCTCAGATATCGCCACCCCAGTCCCTCCGCCAACATCTACAACGCTTCCTTTCGTCCCAAGAAATCCAGTTTTGTAACTGGCCAAGATCGCATTTATTGTGATCTTAGCTGTGCATGCCATACCCTCGTTAAAAACCCTATTAAAATCTGAGTTACTCGACGAAAACTCAAACATTTCTTCACCATGAATCATCTTAAACGCCGTACCACCTTCTGTGATCGACCGACTCAACACATGTAAAGGCAAAATCATAGATGGATCCGTCCGCATCATGACCATCGGTGCTAATGTCACATCAGCATCACGTAACAACCACAGGGAACAATGGTTCAGGGAGTAAACATTATCATTTCCCCCCTCTCCATCTCCAACTTTTGGTTGGGCCATTTCATGGAAAACCTTTCGATGGACCAAGAATCTCATTAGTCGTCGAAGCCCATCTAGGTTTATGGATGGAGAGGCAATACCTGTGGCAATTTCAGACAACGTGATAGGGTGGCCATGGTTGTGAATTATGTCAGGAATACGAAGCTCAACACAACATCTTATAGCCATACCGTCGAGAGCACCATATATGTAGCGCAATATCTGTGCCTGACCTGCCACCATTGCATCGGCATCGCCACCTACTTCGTCTTGAGTGTTCATCACTCAAAATTTTGAATACGATTATGGATATTGGAAACATACTTATAACCCAAAAAAGGCATAAATGAAGACATGTCCATGGCCAGCTCCCCACCGCAAATTCTCATGTGTGTATTAATAATTAAGCGTATCATATATATGGCATGTGATGTGGATCCACGTTGAGAAGATTGGGTACAGGTAAAAGCAAGCGGTAATCATGGCAGTGTTGGATATATATATATATATATATATATATATATATATATA